CTTTAGATCTATCAAGTAAATATAATAATAATAGTTATCATTCACAAAACTAGCACAAAAGTTATCAGAATAATATTTCTATACTAATAGAACTTGATCAAGCTGAAAGCTATTATAATAATAAAAAGAATAATAACAAAAAAAAATAATAAATTCAAAAATACATATTATAACTATGATAAATTAGGTTATTTTACCAAAAATTATTATTCTAAATCAAATATAATCTTTTAGTTATATAATATAATATATTAAAAAAATTTATACAAAAGATTTAAAATATATAATGATATGATTGAAATAGTATTTATATAGAAAACTAATTCAAGATAGACAAGATTATTATATTTAAAAATTAATCTTTATTAATAATATTATTATTCATTTTTAAAATTATAAAATAGAAATAATATCTTTAAATAATAATTTAATATTATATAAAATTAATAATAAATAAATAGAAATTAATAATATATAATACTTATTTAATAATATCTTTAGAAGATATTTATTAATAAATAAATAAAGAAATAAAATATTATAAATAAAAATATAAATTAAGTAATATACTAATTATATTAGTAAAATAAAAAAAAAGAGAAATTCTACTAAGAAAATTATTTATAACTAAAATAATTCAAATATATTATATGACTTTCTTGACAAGATATAATAATTTTTGTGATATAATATTATGTATAATATAGTATGTGATATAATAATAATCTGTGAAATAAATATAATTTGTTATATTATCTTTTTCTTAAGAATTAATATCCTTATTAATACTTTAATTCAAAAGATTTAACAAGTTCTATTATATTATGCAGATTTTTTAAAAACTTTCAGATAGAATTATAAAGAGAATAATCTAGCTATTTAACTAAATATTATGAATTATTATAAATAATTCTTTTATCTAGAATAACTTCAATCTTATATTCTTCTTTATTAGTTTCAGATATAATGATTAATTATGATAGTATTATATTAATAAATTCTTTATTATTATTAAAATTATATAGTTTTAATAATAAAATATGAAAGACAAGATAAATTTTTATATATAAAGATAAATCTAGTTTATATATAATAGATAAAATTACTTTAAGAATAAAGAAGAAATCAATATATTTAGATATAAGCTTTTTATTAAGATATTATTTATCTATAAGATCAATAATATTATGATTTAAAAGTAAAACTTGATCTCTAATTTTAAATTCTTGATAATAATAATATTATTTTCATTCTTTTAATTTATCTATTAGTTTGTAAGTGAAATATAATTGATATAACTAATTTAGTATTAATTTATTTAAAAAGAGATTTTCAAAAATAATTAGTAAATTTAGTATTATAATCTGAAATTATATTATAAGATAGTCTATATAATTTAAAGATATTATTAAAGAAAAGTTTGATAACTTTAGATATAGTAATAGTAATATATATAGAAATAAAATAGATATATTTAGTAAGATAATTTATAATAACTAGAATTGTATTATATACTTGCTAAGTTATTAATAATTGTATAATAAAATCTAAAATAATTTATTTTCAGTACTGTTTAAATATTTTTAAAAATTATAAAAGTTCTGAAAGTAATTGATGATATTCTTTCAAGATTCATATTTTTAAAGATTTATTCTTGAAAATAACAAGTTATTTTATATTCTTTAAATAAATTTTATTATTTTTTAGCTCAAAATAATATATTCTCAAATGTTACTTAAATGTAACTGATTTAAAATTATATAAAGTTATTCAAATTTTCTTGAAATAATTATTATTTTCATATTCTTGATATAACTTTTTCTTATTAATTAGTTATGTAAAGATTATAATAATATTATTTACTTGAGATAAATAAGATAAAATATTAGTGATAATATTTTTTTATTTAGTTTATACTTAATAATAAAATTATTAACTTATAGAGTTTTTAGCTAATAAGCTTAATATTTAGAAGGATTATACTATATTTTAATATACTTGAGAGATATATAATTAGTAATGATAGTAAAGTATTAATCTTTTAAATATAATTTTCAGAAATAAATAATATATACAATAACAAGAAGTTTCTTTTTATGTATAAAATAGTTTTGCTCAATTAATAATAATTTATAAGTGACAGATTGATCTTCTTTTCTATAATTTTAATTAAGAATAGCTTTTATTGTAAATTCAAATATATCAATTATTATAGTAAAGAGTAGTTTAGAATCTAGTAGAATTAATATAGATATAATAATTAAATATTATTTTAAATTATCAAATATTTTTTATTTAGACTTATTTCAAATATATTCATAATCTTTATAAAATAAGATTATAAATGACAAGATAATTACAAAAAATTCTTTAATAAATTTCTTATAATAACTAATAAGATCTAGAAATAACTAAAGCTCAAAGATATTAATTAGTTTAGTCTAGTTATAAATAGTAGTAAATTTATATTAATCTATTAAGATTTCTTAATCTGAGATAAAATGATCTAAGTATTTAATATATTATTTTACAAGTTTATATTTCTTTAATTTAGTATAAATTTTGTATTTATAAAGTTTAGAAAGAATAATATAGAAATAATTAAAATATTCTTTTTTAATATTACTAAATATAAGAATATTATCAAGATAAATAATAATAAATTTGTCTAAATAATCATAAAAAATATTTTTTATAAGAATTATAAAAGTAATAGATATATTAGTAAGATCAAATAATAGAATAAGAAATTTATAATGACTATATCTCATTTTAAATATAATTTTATAAATATCTTCTTTCTTGATTTTAATTTAATAATATTCAGAGTAGAGATCTAATTTAAAAAAGTATTATATTTCAGCTAGATAATTTATTAATTTATCAATACAAGATAAAGAATAATAATTTTTAATTATAATTTTATTTAAGATATAATAATCTATATAAAATCAAAAAGTTTCTTTCTTTTTATATATAAATAAAATGGATATTTCAAATGATAAAAAACTTAGATAAATAAATTTTTGCTAAGTAATTCTGATAGTTATTTCTTTAATTTATCCATTTTAATATAAGATAAGTAATATATAAAATAGGATAATGATTCAGAGTCAAGTATCAAATTAATAGTATAATTTATAATATATTTTGATGATAATTATTAGAAAATAAGTTAGAAAATATATTAGTAAATTCTTTAATTAGTTGAGTAGCTTTACAAGAAGTTGATACTTTTTGATATATTTCTTTTATTATAATACAAATTATAAATAACTTAGCATTAGACAGAATTTTAGTAAATTATTAATAAGTAATATAAAGTAAGTTATAACTAGATATAAGTTTATCTTTATTAGTATTAACTTGATTACTTTATTATTATAATTAAATATCATGAAATTATTATACTAGTTAATAATGAAATTAGTATAATAAAGTTATAGTTTGCTAAATATAAGATTATAATATTGAATATTAAGAACTTATATATTAATATCAAATATATGATAAGTATTTAGCTTTAATTCTTTGATTATTATAGATGAATTGATTTTCTTTTTATAACTATTAGCAAGTTTTATAATAATTGAATTTATATTATATATTTGTAGTTAATTATTTCAGATATATATTTTATCAATAAAATTTTGTGATACTTTACTATTAAGCAGAATTCAAGCAGACTATTTATTTATATAACTATTGAATTTTAAAAATTTCTTATAATTATTCTCAAGATAAGTGAATTTAATATTATTATTTTATATAATGATTATTTTATTATTATTATCTTTAATATTAATTACTTTAGACTTTTCTTTTAAATGATAGTCTTTAGCAAAATGATCCAATTTATCATAATTATAATAATTATAATTATTATTATTTTTATTATGATTATTACTGTTATTATTACTATTATTATTATTAGATTGATAAGAATCTTCAGCATAATCTAGCTCTATAGGTGTGGAACTAGTATTATTGTATATATTATTATAAGAGGAATTCTGATTTCTTTTATATTTTGATTATGATTACTATTATCACTTTTAAGAGAATGACCAATACTAAATATAGCTGTATTATAACAAATTACAAGTTTTCAGACAGCAACAAAAGTTTCTGGCACTTGATATACTATTTCCATTTTAGTTGCAAACTTAAAACTATTAATAAAATGTGCAACTTGATCTAATTCTCTCATATTTTTAATTTATTCCACAAATTTCTGAATTTAGCATCATACTTCTATATAGTATCAGTTTGATGAAGTTGATAATGAAAATATTGTTGATAGTTAGATAATTGAAATGCATTATGAACTTTAGCAATAAAGTTATTCTAATCAGTAAAGGCATTTTATTCTCCAACAGCATGTACTTTATTTAGATATTAATATTGAACAGCATCCTCAAATCCAGTTCTGATAACACAGAGTTATTGAACAACAAAGAACTCGAAAAAATAGATGTGCATTCATCATCTTCAATAAATGATAATACATATACATGTATTACTGATTCATCAAAATTGAACAAAACAAAAAATGACGTTGGATCAAGAAAAAATTTCAAGATAAATTTCGATGACATTATAAATAATCAAATGGATTGGATTTTAATATCTATCTAGATGCACATTTAAATGAAAACAATCCCAATTCATCTGTAGTGATTTATTCGAATCAAATAAAAAAAGAAGCATTTTCTACATTGAACCAGAAATGAATTAATAAAGAAAAATTTAATGGAATTACAGTAGAAGATTTATTGATGCTCTTTGATAATGATATCAAAGAAGATGAAAATTATAATCCAAATTTTACAAAACTTTTTACAGTTATTTTCGAAAAATTACAAATACCCTCCGGGAAAATAAAATTTTTACAAAATTTACAAAATAATACACTTTGTGGAAAAATTCTAGGCTTTATTTATCACCTTGACATTTATGTTGCCAAAGATCATAATCAAGCTTTACAATCTTATCAACAATCAGCAGTACAAGAAGATGCTGTGGCAAATTTTTTAATTGGAGAATTATACAATAATGTGAACTGGATAAATAAAGATGAACAAAAAGCATTCGAATAATATTTGAAAGTAGCGAAGTCAGGACATCTTAACGCACAATTTAATCTTGGTATTTGCTATCGAAATGGAATAGGAACAATCAAAGATGAACAAAAAGTATTTGAGTGATACTTGAAAGTGGCAGAGTCAGAACACCTTAATGCACAAAATAAGCTTGGTTGTTGCTACCAAAATGGAATAGGAATAAACAAAGATGAACAAAAATCATTCGAGTGGTCCTTGAAAGCAGCAGAATTGGGAGACCTTGATGCACAATTTAATCTTGGTTATTACTATCAAAATAGAATAAGAACAAACAAAGATGAACAAAAAGTATTTGAGTGGTACTTGAAAGCAGCAGAGTCAGGACACCTTAATGCACAATTTAATCTTGGTTATTGCTATCAAAATGGAATAGGAACAGACAAAGATGAACAAAAAACATTCGAATGGTACTTGAAAGCTGCAGAGTTGGGAGATCTTGATGCACAAAATAATCTTGGTTATTGCTACGAAAATGGAATAGAAACAATCAAAGATGAATAAAAAGCATTCGAGTGGTACTTTAAAGCAGCAGAGTTGGGAGACCTTAATGCACAAAATAATCTTGGTTATTGCTACGAAAATGGAGTAGGAACAATCAAAGATGAACAAAAAGCATTCGAGTGGTACTTGAAAGCAGCAGAGTCAGGACAGCTTAATGCACAAGATAATCTTGGTTATTGCTACGAAAATGTGATAGGAACAATCAAAGATGAACATAAAGCATTCGAGTGGTACTTGAAGGCAGCAGAATTAGAGCAACATGATGCATAAAATAATCTTGGGAATTGCTACCGAAATGGAATAGGAACAAACAAAGATGAACAAAAAGCACTCGAGTGGTACTTGAAAGCAGCAGCGTCAGAACACCTTAACGCACAATATAATCTTGGTTATTGCTACCAAAATGGAATAGGATCAATCAAAGATGAACGAAAAGCATTCGAGTGGTACTTGAAAGCAACAGAGTTAGGACACTTTGACGCACAATATAATCTTGGTATTTGCTATCTATATGGAATAGGAACAATCAAAGATGAAAAAAACCATTTGAGTGGTACTTGAAAGCAACAGAGTTGAGAGTTCCTTTCGTAGAATATAACCTTGCCTTAAGCTATGATACAAGAATAGAAAAATATAAAGACAAAGTATTCGAGTTAATTTTAAAATCTGCTAATTCTGGTTGTGCAAGAAGCCAAATTTTTATTGAGATATAACTATACAAGAAATCGAATTCCAAAAAATTTGGAAGAATCATTATTTAAAGTTCTTTTAAAATTTGCTGAAAACGGCAATTTCCATTTCTATTTTCGACTTGGTCAATGTTATGAATATGGAGAAGGTACAAGCAAAGATGATAATAAAGCATTTAATTGGTATTTAAGAGCTGCAGAGGCTGGAAACAATAAAGCTCAATTTAATCTTGGAAAATTGAATAGGTATTTCGATAAATCTTGACTTAACATTAATGTGGTATCAAAAAGCCAATGAAAACGGTCATCATCGAGCTCCCGAAATAGTTGAATCTTTCAATTTTGAAAAAAATTATTCCAATTGGTAGTCATAGAAATTTCAATTTAATATATTCGAGCTTTCAGTTCGCTGAATATTATAACAATAGACATCTTTCATTACTTAAAAATACATATTATCTGTATTCTACTACTTCTGGTTCTGCATAATATTTTTTTTATATTTAAGTTGTATACAGTTGAACCTTCATATATTCACCATCCAGATAATCACAAAATAAATATAGTCACATTTTTCAGTCCCGCCTATTATGAATTTGACTTTCATTTCTTTATAATCACGTTTCTTCGTATCCCGAAGGTATGATTAAATGAAAATTTGGTATAGTATTAATTTTTCTGTTGATATTTAGTTTAGCTTTTATGCAATGCATTATTATTTATAGTATTTTTCTTTTTTATATGATTAATGCATAGTTTTATGATGTTACTTCTTAATTTAATTTATTATGAAATTTACAACTTTTTAATCGATTAATATGATTCAAAAAATAACAATTTCAATATTTTCTCTAGACAAAACACGTATTAATATAATAATTATTTATGATAAAACTTATAATACCGTCATTTTAATCTTATTCCTCAGCAAGTCATGTAAATACAAGCACATAATTTTTATTTCTAATTAAATTCATTTACAAGATTTGTATTAACGTAAAAATATAAACTTCCAACAATATCATGTATTCCCATCATTACACTTTTATTGATAAATACCATATTATACTAAACATTAAATGAAGGCCTGTCTGAAAGAATAAATTTTGGATTGAACTTTCTTTGACTTTGAATAACAATCCATTTCTCATTGCAATGAAAAAGCAAATACATGCATTTAGATTTCCCATTTGTATTGACTACAAATAACATTTAATGTTTTATTTAAATTTGCTTGGTTCCTTTAACTTCAGCACTGAGCTCATAATGAGCCATCACATTGCCTCCAAATGCTGATTTAAAATACTACTCGAGACTTTACATTTATCAAGTAAAAATCACTTAACCTTCTTCATAGTATCAAGATTTTATTGGGCGGTTGTTTTGCCACCTTCGACAGACTCTTGGTACAATAAATGATTTATACTTTCTCGGATTGATCTTTCGACAAATTCGTAACTTGTGCCGACGCGAAATTATTACTGCGACTAACGCATTTGAAATGCCATTCAAATGTCCCAAGATCATTTTGATTTGTTCCTTCACCATTTTTGTATCACCGAATTTAATAATAGTATTCCCATGACATTTATTCCAAATGAATAACCACACTCTTCTGTTCAAATATTGATATATATTGTTGAATGCAGATTCTACGATGATAGATTTGGTGATATTATATTCAAGTTTTTTATAATGGTTGAGTTAGTCGTACATGCACAGTTAGTTGAATTGACAAAAAATCAGTCTGTGAGCCTTCAGAGAATTATTCCACAATTTATCACCAGACATTGTGAATTTATTAGCTCTCGAAATAGTCTAGTGATTATGCATCACAATATTGCATTTAATTTGGGAATTCTGATGCTAACGTTAATACATGTAGTTCTGATTTGACTTAAGTGATAACTTTATTTTCAATAATTTTAATTAATTTGCATATTGTATGTTTCTATTTTCCAAGAGATTTGTTACCAAATAAGGTCATTAAAATTGAAAAGAATAAATTTAATTTACTTAACCCATTTCGACAAGCATGTACATGTATATGTAATGGAATAAATCACTAACATGTAAAACGTGAATTAAATAGAAATTATAAAAAAAATTTTAAAAATAAAATACATATAAATTTAATAAGAAGTGTATATGACTTAGATTGATAAATTCAAGGTCCTTAATAGTTAGTCTGGTTTCTGGAATAAATCCTCACATTTTTCAATAATGAATTACACCATCCAGAAATGTACATAAAATTTGATATTGTAAATTGTGCGCCTTTATATCCATTTCAATGCTATAAGTATCGGCAGCATTAGTGTACAGTTTTCCATATAGCACCTCTGAGCTCATAAGAAAGCACTCTACAAATTTTTGGCTAGATTTTTTTATAGTTATGATAAGTACAAAATCAGCAAACTATAATAAATAACAAATACTTGTTTGTATCAATCATGTTATGCAATGATAATGACGAAAAAATTCAAACAATCATTTATTTTGAGAAATAGTTTGTATAAAATTTTACCTATAAAACTACTTTCTGTGCTCTAATAAAAATGTTCTTTGCAAAATTTTACTATAAGAAATTCTCGCTTGTAATATAATCTTAACTCTGACCTTAATCTTAATTCCTAACCAAAATGCTATTTATATTAAATATCTTGCGATTTGATTGGTTTACCCCTTAAAAAATCATATGACCGACAATTTTTTTCGCCGTGGCTAAGGTATTATAATAATAATACATCGAGCATCTATCAATATTTTGATACATCACATTTTAGTATAAAACAGGTTCCAAGAATAAATTCTCTTCAAAAAATTAAATTCCAAATACATCCACACAAAAATCACTCGTGAACAATTGCGAAAATTAAAAAAAAAATGCGTTTAATTTTTCTGTCTGGAGCTTTTTACTATTAATCTCGGTTAATCTCATATGTACAGCAAATGCTACAGATGTTAAACTATTAAAGCAATTATGGGAACGCGTCTATGAGAATGGTATTTTTTTACTACATGTTCAGCAGCAGTCCCCGTTAAACCATTTCGTATTTTGCATTTTTGTCATCATATCCGACTACCATACATTTACTTGATTAACGTTTTGATTATTACTTAACCCGAGATTATTACTTTCACTTTTGGAGTTTCGACGGACTATAACTCGACTCGATAGATACTTGGCGTGTCTCCGATCTGCAGGTTTTGCCTATTGTCGCAAGTTTCATCAATCGTTGAGGTTTTCGTCAGATGAATGACGTGACGAAACCGTTCATCATCATGAAAATGGTTTCGTCAAGTTTTATTAACGCACAGTCACCTCCCAAAGTTTCCAGATGAATTTTCAAGTTTTCTATGTAATGACCTTTTAAAAGATACCTATGGTTTTCAACTGCAACCACAAAACATCGACTTGTAAATATATTGGTTGATTACATTTTTGGTGTTTCGTAATGAGAAGAAATACTCTACGTGGACAAAAAGTTGGGTTATGAAAGTGAAAATCTCTTTTACTTTTATTAATTATTAAAGATTCCAAAAAATACAGTGTAAAATTAAAACTGGTTGATCCACTAATGTATGCAGAAGGCGCAAAGACGCTTCCACTGAGAAAAACTAAACGAGTAGTTTCCTCAAGTGACGGTAAACCTTCTCCAGTAAAATTCCTTATAAAATTATCTCGCACTTCAATCATATTTTCATACGTTAAATTTACAGAGCCTATTAAACTTCCTAAAATAGTAGCGGAGAAATACTCTATTTCAAGAGCACAGCAGACCGATACAACGCCATTCAATTTACTCTGGCCATATTTTTGTACATATAACAACGAAATGTCCATTCCATATGACCATCCAACAATTGTGACTTTTTATTGGATATTGATTTGTGGCAGTCGTAATCACCGAATTCAAATCATCCGCCACAAATGATGCATTATTGTAGAAATTTACATCTCGCGGTTTATCACTATCCAAATACCACGCGCGTCGTAAAATACGAGATGAAGATCCTTGATAAATATTCATTAATTAGCTGTGGCACCCACACTAAGCGCGATTGCAAAAATTCTTGAATAAAAATTACGGTTGGATTCTTTGAGTCGCCAAACTGTTTGACATATAGGCGAATGTTATTGAATTAGCAACATTTAGTTTACGTAAGCCATATTTACGGAATTGTCATATTTGGCGAAGTTATTGATAGGTGAGGTAACTGATAATACCGGTTCTTCATCTAATTGTGTACCAAGAGTTGCTGAGGTTAATAACAAGCGTTAATATAAAGACAAATTGTGAATTGTTCATGTTTTAGATTTATAAGCTATCTGAATGATTATTTTATAGTCTCCTTTTATATAACCACAAAGACTAAGCTGTTTGCAGAAAACAAAGAATTACGTTGAATTAATTACTACATTTTATCATCGCTTGCGGTCACTGCTAAATTTATTTCTATTTTGCCGAAAAGAATTTCCATATACAGTGTGTTAAGAAAAAAACGGCGGTTGATAAAAGATGCGTTTTTTTGTAATACATAAAGGAATACGCGCGTTATTAATAATAATTGTGCTACAAATACGATCAATTCCATATCTAGTGATCAAATTTTCATAAATACATTTTTTTGTTTCTTTTGTTTTACACTTTTGTAAAAATGGTTAACGTGTAGCTTAAAGCCCAAAGACAGACAATTAAACATTACTGGCTCAATGGTACCCATTCAGCCAAAATAATACATGAGATAATGGGTATCCCTCTTTGTACAGTTGAGTGTAACTTAGAGAAACAGGTATCATTGAGCACAAGCGTGAAAATAGATGTAAAACCAAGGTTATACAAAACCCTATCTCATGTTATTGGGCAGAGTATCTGATGTAATAATATTCTTTCAACCTGCCAACTTGTTGTAAAAATAGAAAACATGCAGAGTATATCAATTTTATATGTTATAGTATGGGATTATATAAAAAAAAAAGAGGTATAAAAGCTCTGTACCTTTAACAATACTGATGTTTACAGAATGACAAATTAACTTAAGAAAAGTATGGGTACAGGCATATGCAAATGACAATTGAAACTGAATAAATATTTATGAATGAGATAGCATCAAGTTCTATCAGAAAGTAATGGCACGAGAAGATATTTCTTGAATAGGAAAAACTCTCTTGTTTTGTTTAACTAATATTATAAATAGTTCTTTTTATATGAGAATATTGCAAATATAATTTCTATCTGCAGTCCAAAGAATATATAGAAGATGCTAATATTTATAATAAAACAATGATCTAAAGCACACATTACATATTGCAGTTATAAATAACTATACTTCTCTAATTCTTCCAAAAATAAAGCAAATTTTTTTATTAAAACTAATACAAGTAATACTAATTTTTAATATATAGTATAATTACTATTAAACTTTATTAATACTATTATATGATATTTCATATTATTTACTAATTTTGTGACAAATTCTAATGAAAAATGGTTTTACTCTTTTATTAATTCTTCTTTTAATTCTTTAATTATATGATTTTTTTAAGATTTAATTTCATAATATAACATATATTTTTTATAGAATTTTAATCTGAAAATATTGATAGTCAGGATAGTTTTTTAATATCTTATTTCATCTTTCAATTTTTTATGATTCTTGAATGATATTTAGAATTATTATTTTCTTATAAGAATCAGTTTAAGTTGCTCTTGTCAAAAAACTTAGAGATAAAAGATAGAAGATTCTTGTAAATTTTACATCTAAAATTAATATCAAGATTTATTGAAAGTATTTCAACTTATCAAACTCCAAAACTAAAAAATATCTTTATATATAGATCTTTAATGAATATTTAATAGTATGAAATATTTTTTTGATAGAAATAATTGAAAAATACTTTTATACATAAAAATAACCTAATTCTAATCAAAATTTTAATATTTTTCATTTATTATAGCTATTTTTCTAATAGTTTTCTATAAGAAGAGATTTTATAATTTTATTAATATATTTTTCTTTAGCTTTATGAAAATATTATCTAATAGTTCTCACACTAATATTAAAATTCATTTTTTTATATTTTATTATATTTAAATATTTGTTATATTATTTTTCATCTTTACTATTATTTGTCTTGTTTTATTATTGTTCTATATTACAAATTGGATTTTTTTGATCACTTAGATTCTTTGAAATTCTCTATCTTTAAATTTAATTTTTTGTAGTATTCTTAGTATAATTAATATGAATTATTATTTTTTCATAGTCTTATTATAATCCTTGTAAATATTCATGAAAAAAAATGATTTTATATTATTTATACAAAGAGAACAATATTTTTTTGGATATAAAAGTTAATCAATTATTTAAACTTCTATTTATATATTATATCAATCTATAATTATACAAATTATCAGTATTAGTATTATTCTTGAATTTTGAAAATTTTTAAGAGATATTATCACTTGATTTCTGAAAATTTTGAAATGCGGATACTTATAATTACTACTGTAAGAAATTCATTGCTAAAAATTTTAATTTACTTAATCAAATGATTATCTAACAGTCCAGATATTAATCCTATTAAAAATATGTAGTAAATTATGAAAAATAATGTTGAAAAACAAATGTCACAAAATAAAATGAATTAATAAGATTTATAACTGAAAAATGGAATGCAATTCCTCAGAAAATAGTTAATAATTTAGTTTTCTCCATGCAAAGCAGATGTGAATCAATTTTATTAAATAATGAAAATAGAATCTCATACTGAAATTTTATTATTAAATAAAATATCTAATAAACTTTCAAAAAAGTCTAAATTTGTTTCATTTAATTTCTGAGATATATAAATTTTTATCATCACCATTTTTTTCTTAATACACTGTACAGTATATATATATATACATACACTACCCTTAGAAAAGTATTTGGTCAAGCATTTTTTAAAATTTTCAAGATTGAATATATTAACTAGACAAAAGAAATTTTTTAAATGAATTTCCTGGTTTAATAATTAGATTATATTGATATTTTAGAAAATAATTTACTGTCATTTATCCAATTCAAACATCATAAACAACCTTATGTATTTCAAGATGATAATGCTCCAGTTCATACAGCAATGGATGTTGAAAATTAGATTGTTCAAAGTGGATTAAGGTATTTTTCAATTGGCTTTCTCAATCTCCAGACCTTAATCCAATCAAACATTTATGAAGTGAACTTAAATGAAGACGCAGGAAATACTCTGTACAGCCAACAAATCTTCATGAACTTGAAAAAGTACTACAAGAAGAATGGAAAAAATTTCCATCTGAAACTTATACTAAACTTATTGAAAGCATGCCACATAGAATTGAAGCATGCATTAGGAATCAAGGATGGCCTACAGAATATTAAATGTCAAGTTTGTGTTAAAAAATTAAATAAATAAAATATTTCTTTTGTTGACCAAATACTTTTCCGAGGGTAGTGTATATATGTTGTCCATGCCATGTCTTGGCAAATATACAGTACATGCACATGTACTTAGAGACATTTAATCCCGTTACTTTGCTTTGGACTTTATTGCATGTATGACAACGATTACATGTATCTCGTTTTTACTATCATTTCAAGCAACTCGCATTTTATAAAATGAACTCAAAGATAGAATTAAACACACTACGTTGTAATTATCGTTGCCAATGTCAAAAAAATGAATGCTTTATGAGTGTTTCCAATATAAAAAAGAATTTATAAAGATATCAACAATTTAATAAAAGAATACAACAAAATTAATAAAGATCATTTTTTTGAATGGATTCCTTTTGAAAGATTTATTAACATTGAATATCTTGCAAGTGAAGATTTTGGGTCAATTTATAAGGCAACCTGGTTGAAGGGACGAATTGACAAATGAAATCATGAAGAAAATAAATTGAAACGAGATGAAATCATTGCACAATTCAAAGCAATTACTTCAGAATTTATAAATGAGTTAAAAACTGGCATTTTGCTTTCTAATACAATCAAATTTTTCAAAACTGGACTGCTCCCAAATGCACTAGTAATTTTATCAATAACTACATGTAAATGGTATGGCTCAATCCCAAGTTATATTCATCTATAAGTGCACACCTTCTCTAAATGAACACTGCCTTTTCTTAATATGGTTCCATAGGTATACAGATAAATAGCTCTATCTATGCAGTAAAATATTAATTTCCACCCTAAATCTTAACCCTAATTGCTATTGAGATATTATTTACGGTAATTCGCAAAAGGAATGAAAAGTAAAAAGTTTCGCGAAAAAAAATTCTAAAAAATATATGAATTTTTTTAATTATTGAATTTTAACTTTCATAAAAGCTGTGGTTCTTGATGAGAACTATCGATATATCAGTTTTCAGCTAATTTGATACCAAATTCGGTTAGTTATTAGATACCAAAGTACCAAATTAATGCTCGTAAAAATAATTTAACTATTTCTTTTCGGGAACTAATAACTAAACGAATTTAGTGCCAACATAGCTGAAAATTTGTATGTAGATAGTTCTCATCAAGAAGCACATTTTTTATTAGGTCAATTCTTAAACCTGTTTAAGCTAAAATTTCACTAATTAAAATATTCCGCAGAATGGCAATATCAATCATAAAGATAATCAATATAAGATAACTATGACGCATAAAACACAGCGCATAATCATTGACGCTAAGAACATTTTAATATTTGAATGTTTTAATTGTCGAAAAAATTACTGATATGTTAGGAGTTGATATTACTTTAATTAAATCGCCACATAAACGTCGGCTTGTTTTATTTTAAATTAAATTTGATAATGTGATTCTAAACCAATCCTCATTACAATTCTATGACAAATTATTTGATCAGCATACATTTGCTACAATTAAACCCTGCAAATATGAAAATTGAGAGAAATATACAATTTTCTTTATTTACATATACTATTCAACTCTTCAGAAAATTTTATCATAAAATTAGCGCTTAAATTTAGCATCGCTATACTGTTACGCTTCTCTTGAAAAATGTTGGGTTTATCAAAATTAATGCGTAACACAAGGTTAGAGACTCCGACTGAATGGTTTACGAAAAAGAGGTGTTCCCTGATTCGTCCTAAATGTCTCCCGTGGTAGTTCTTTCGAGAATTACTACTTAAATGATTGAATGGGGACGGACAGGAGAATGTTTTCTTTTAAAAGGGATGTTTGGGGTAGACTTAATTAATTTGCGATATTCCAGAGGAATACGAGTTGTTTCTGTTTATTACCAACACGAGAAGAAAAGAGTTGGACTTTATTGACGCGGTAAACAAACTATACAGCACACGGAATTAGGCACAAAGCAAATTCCAACACGGCACAAAACAAATCAACGGTTGTACTTATCCAATGTCAACAAAACAAAATACTCGAAGCAAATTATGGTTTATTTAGAGTGGTGTTCTTCCACTATCAATTTATGTTAGGTACAAAAGAAATAAAAGCCACTTGTACGCAAGATTTTAAGACGAGTAACAGCAAAGCGGATAAGACAAGCGAAAAAATTTGTAAAGGTTAATTAATATAATTTTTTTATTGTAGTGTCTCTTATCCTTGTTAGAGAACCAAAAGTTTGTCCTTTTATACATGTGAGTATTTTTATAAAAGCCGCTTAATGCCAATGTCTATGTTAATTGAATGATTGGGTTTTTGATCTAATATTGGGTCTATTTTTAGAATGGCGTCAAGTCGCTCTTTGACTTTCCGATTTGAGTCTTTGGAGAATTATTTATCAAAGAGGTTATAATGATAATAGAAATAAACAAATAGAAAACAAGAAAAGTAAATAAAATTCAAAAAGCGTAAATGTCAGATGCTAACTTTGATTTTCGAAATTGTCCAATGATAATAGTAATTCGTAAAGTGAATTATTTTAATAATGTCGGTTACCAAAGAAAGGTTATTATGTCAACCATAAGATATTGACATATGATGCGACTATTATCGATTCCCACGAAGCTTATTGTGATTATTGTTACTTTTCGATTGAAATTTCCAGTGCCTACTTTGGTAAAGATATTCATCCCGCATATTGGTTATTCCAAATTCGGTCGGGATTTTCATGTCCTGTAAAAATTTAATGAATTCCGGGATTTAACGTTAAGGTTACTTCTAACAATAGATAAATACAAAAATGATACGCTTAGAAAATTTCCTTTTTTTTACCTGTTCAGTAAAAAGCATGAGTCAAATCAGATCAGATCAAATCAAATCAAATAAACCAAACTAATAAGAATACGACGTAAAATATTAGTAAAGTAAATTCATGTTTGTTTAATGTAATTATATTTTAATAGAACATGTTTATGAGTTTAGTAGATTTCTTTCCCACTTGTTTCTTTACTTATTTTAGTTCGTCCAAAATATAAGTTTTTCGTGTATGTGAATTCATCGTATACGACCTACGTAATTAATGAAGTAATTGATTAAAACAGAACAACGAAAAACTTGTGTACTTTCTACTACTATTATAAAGTTTTTTTACTGGTAGTAATCAAAAGTATGAGCAACCCCAACATCCACGCTCGTCGCGATTTTTGTCGAACCTGCGAGAATCTTCGCACTATCGTCATATCAAAAGACCAAAAAATTGCGACTCTTCACGAAGAACTAATCATCGCTCAAAAATCTCTTATCGTCGCTCAGGACAACTTGTTGAAGTCTTCGTCACTGCGACAGAACAAGAGTAATAATAACGCCTCGGCAGCTCCTTTGAGTCAGCCACTTGTAAACGGTGCTTGGCCTTTTATTGATTTGCCTAATGCTGCTGCTGCGTCTAATATGGCGGCTCCTATTGGTAATATTGGATCCGGTGGTGATGGCGACGGTACTGATATTAATGATTCGAATGGAAATGGAATGAACGGATCGCATGACCATGGTAAATAATTGAAAAGGCAATAATGATCTCGGGTAAATAAAATTTATATAATACGAATGAATGGTTCATATCCCAAAGGAACGCCGATTTTCCGTGCTTTCATCGGAGATGTTCCTAGAGACATCGATCGTACTCGCTTGATTCAATGTTTGGAAATCACGTTTGGTCCTGTCGTGGATATTCAATTCATTCCAAGCAAGGTATTAGATCTCTTGTTTAAAAAAAATGAAAACTTTATAATAATAATATATTAAATAGTATTAACTGTAGAAACGAGACTACATTTTAACAATGAAAAAATATAATAATAATGATAACACACGTACATGTACTAACATAATAATATTATTATTTAAATCACTAGAATTGCGCATTTGTCCACTTTGCCACTCAAAACGGCTACGATAATGCCATTCGTGAAGGATTCGTTTATGTTAAAGGACGTATTTTGTGCATCCAAAAGATCAAGAAACCTTTGGAATGTTGTAATTGCACGATTGTTAATACTCTTTAAAACTATAACTTCTCAGAAATTGACGCGCAAAAATATCTGAGTTTATCAAGATATTAATTCTCCAAAACATTTGCACATTTGAAATTCTCTATATATAAAAATTATACTGCATTCTGAATCGTCATTATTATAAGATGCTCTTTTGTTTTTTTTAAAAATAATTGAACAAGATTTTGCTAGAAAAAAAATAAATCTTTAATCATTCAATTTGAAAAGTGATATATAAAGCATCTAAGCAATAAACATATAGTAGCTGTTAACGTTAATTAAAAGAAATCCTGAAGAGCGAAATTAACGAAATTATATTTTTAATAATCAAAGATGTCTCGTTTAGTTCGTTGCGAAAATAATGAATTCGTATAGGTATAAAATTCGACGTTAATTTATATTTTGAATTTGAGAATTTTAAAAAAATTTTACATGCACAGTTGATACTGCCTGATTGCGTTACTATATTTGCTAGATATATACAAAGCATTCGCGTTCTTACCAAAAAAGAGATTACGATTTAATAGATGTGATACTTGAGTCTTTAACAAAATATTTGGGCCGACGCGTTTAAATATATTAATAAAAATGGTAATTAAAAATCTTTACATGTACCGCATAGACCACCCCGGGGGTGTATTGTACGAAATTGAGTGTATTAAATGGTGTATTATAAGGAGGATGCAAATCAAACTACCGTATTTCACTGCATAGAATACCCGGGGCAGTTTAACGTAATATACCATGTGAAAATTGCAAAAAAATTGACAGTTGTCTTTATTGCTAAAACTTTATAAGAATGTCAAAGAGCAAATGAGCAAAAAACTGTTTAATATAATGCACAAAATTATATTAAGATTTTTTCAATACATAGCTATTGAAAACAGGTAAAAAATATAAAATATTAGAGAAAAAAGTCAAAAAATATACTAATTGATCTGATTAAAATTTAGGTCCACGAATTTTGATAGCTACTACGCATTTTGCTCATAGTAATCATCTTTCTCCTCTTCCTCCTCTTGCTCATTCTCTTGATCATTTTCATTATTTGTGTTGCTAGGACCTGCTTCAATATCATTCTCTTCTTCTTGATTACTGTAAAATATATGACTGCTACTTGCTCTTTGACTTACTTTATCATAATCAAAATTAAATGATTCTCTGAGTCATCTCATATATTTAAAATTCTATAATACTTAAAAGACTTTTGGTTAAGTTCAGAATTAACTCTATCTCATGCTGCTTTAATTCACTTGGTAATAGTATTATAAGCAGGATGTTGAATTCATCCAGTAGGCGTATATTTTTTTAATTTCTTCAACTATTTAATTATTATATTATTAATAAATTTAAAAAAGATAATTAAAGTTTTTGCTAAAGTTTTAATAAAGTTATTATAAAAAAATTTATCTTTGACTTAAAAGATTTATTAATTGAATATCTAATATTGTAACTTTGAGATTAATTTACCAGAAATTACAGCTATATTAATCTTCTTTTTTTTAATCTTTATTTAATAGAATTAATTATATAATCTTGAAATAAATCTAATATAAGTAAAAATTGTGAATAGAATAATAAAGAATGATAACTTCAATATTTTCAATCTATCAAGTATTTCTTTTCTATTTATATAGTCAAATTAATCAATATAAAAAAAATTTACTGAAAAATACTTGATATAAAATATTAACAAGTTAAAAATTATTATAAATAATAGTTTTATTTTATTTATTATATATGCAAGTATAACTATAAATTTAATTTTTTATATCTAATAATATGAATATTAACTATTTTTATATTTATATTTTCAATTATTATTAGAAAATCAAATATTAAAAATATTTTATTCATATTATTAATTAATATTAACAAATAATTATATTAAATATAATAATATAGAACAAAACTTAAAAAGTATTTTTCTTTTAAATTTTCAGATAATTTTTAAATATTAAGATTATATTATCATTTATTAATTTATTATTTACTTTATTTGTATTTATATATATTAGAATATATAAAATATAATTTTATTATTAATACTTTAACTTTTATATATATTATATAATGAATTATAATTTTTTATTATTATTTTAATACTTTTATTTACTAAATAATTTTAGTTTCTATTATTAAATATCTTGGTTTAGTTTATTATTAAGATATATAATATATAATCTAGTTTTTATTAATATATTTTTAATTATTTTATTAGTTTTAAATTTATTTAGATAATTATAAGTAATATCTTAAATATTAATATTTAAATATTATCAAGATAAGTAAAAATTATTAATTTTTATATATATTATAATTACTTTTTAATTATATTAGTTATATATTTAAAATTAAGAACTTTATATATTATTTTAAAGATTTATATATTCAAAAATTTTATTATATTTTAAATAAATATATATATATTATAATTTATAATATAATAAATTTTATTTAATAATATATTATATTTTATTATATAAAATATTTAAATATATTATATCTAAAGCAAAAAAATATGATTTATATTTAGAAAATATATTATAAAAAGAAGAATATTATTACCATAGTGACATAAAACTTCTTAATTCCTTAATCTTTTCCTAGTTATGAAAAATTACTTTTTATTATAATTTTATTTATTTTATAATTATCTCTATTTTCTATATTATTTATTATTATATTTATTATCATATTTCTATTTTTAATATTATATATTATTTAATATTTGAGATCTATATTTTTATTATCTTGTAATATGATATTCATATATATAGTAGAAT